ATTTTGTATAATGTGAGGGTTTTATACATTAAATAATTAAATTTGGTATGCTTGTTAGTCTTTGTGTCTATGGTGTATAATGATGTGATTGTGATGCTGCATTTCTGAGTGTTTTATGTGCTGCAGAACAGGAACCTGTTGTAAAACAACAATTTTGCTGAGTCAGGCTTGATTTTTAATAATCTTTTTCCTGTTAAATCAATAAATCAAATCAATGAATGTGTTGTTATTCATTAATTAGTTCAAATGATTTAAGTATTTTTAAAATTAAATGTCTTCAGATTGGCTGCTAAAATAAAAATATCAATTAAAAAAAGATTTTATCCTGAATGGCCTTTTTTTTTAAGTGTTCATTACTTTTACTTTTTATACTCTAAGTAGTTTTAAAACCAATACTTTTATATTTTTACTTGAGTTTAAGCTTGAGTTGATACTTCTACTTCCAAAAAAGTATTTTGAAACCCTAGTATCTATACTTCTACTTAAGTAATGAATGTGAATACTTTTGTCACCTCTGCTATTAACGTTGTTGTTGTTGTTGTTGTTTTTAGCCGGGTGCAGGTTTAGCCCCGCCCAGCTGAGGGGTATGTGCGCATCATAAACTGTGGCGCGTCGGCTGGGCTTTCTTTGAAGCCGCCGCCCCAGCAGCTGACGCTCGGCTGAGGATCCAGAGGAGAAGAAAGAGAAACCGCACCGCGCGCAGACGCTCGGGTCCAGCGCTAAAGAAAGGTGAGCTTTATTTTCTATCTCCTGCTCAGAAGGGAACCGGTTGGAGTTGTTTCGGGTCGGTTTAGAAACTGTTTCAGCGGTGGTCGGTTCCGTTAGTTTGCGAACTGCGTGTAATCAGCGCGCGGAAGGAAAGTGGAAGCGTTCGGCGCTGCTGGCAGCACGAGACTCTTCTATATTTATCCTCAACATTTTAAGGACGAATCTGAGCTCCCAACTATTAACTTATTATCTTCTGTTGGATTCTCCCCAAACCTCAGCTTCTTTAACACAGCGAGCACTTTTCACCAGTTTGACCACATCATTAAAAAAGCACATTCCTGCATTGCGGCTTGTGTTTTTCCACGTCTCAGAAGCCAACACAGGACTTTCTGTGAGCCCTGCCTGCCTGTATGCCCGGGGCTGGGTGGCTGTTTTTCCTCCCGTGTCTGTTTTTGGGATATCTGGATATCTGGGATTCAGACAAGTTTCCTGTCAGGAAGTGACAAAAGGATATGGCCTGGTCAGCTCCATTCAGCTGCCCGACTCATCCAGCCTCACAGCTACTTTTCCTTTACTGCCAAAGAACTTAGACAAAGTCCTGCAGAACCAAGGACACTTCACCCACAGTTTCTGTGCACTTCGCTTTCAGAAATCCAAGTGGTTTAGAGGGTTTCCTCTCAGTTTACAAAGTCACCTCTTAACCTTCACAAGGTCTCACGGGGGAAAAAAAATCAGCCACATTTTTAGTTTTGTTTGTGCTTTTTAGTGTTGGACATAGATTAAAACTTTTAATGGGGATTAAGCTCGTTGTAACGCACAAAATGAAATTATGACTCAAAGTGTTCAGAGCATTTATTGAGGTATTTTTTATATATATAAAAGTGATGCAACTTCAAAGACGTTAAACAAATAAGCCTGTCTTGCTTTGATTTGTCTATTTCCCTCCCTTATGCTGATCTGCGTCATTTACAGCAGTGTTTCCCAAAGTTGGGGTCGGGACCCAAAGTGGGGTCCCGAAACATCAAGGTGGGGTCCTGAAAAGATTTTC